AAGGGAAAGTCTCTTGAAGGCTCCTCATCAAGGACCAAGAGCGGTTCTATCACTCCTTCTGCCATTCCCAAGGATGCTGATTGCTACTATTGCCAGGACAAGGGGCACTGGAAGCGAAACTGCCCTAAATACTTGCAGGATCTGAAGGATGGGAAAGTGAAACCCACCCACGTAGGTATTTACACAATATTGTCTAATAACTCACCATATTCTAACTCTTGGGTGCTTGATACAGGATATGGTATTCACGTATGTTTTGATTTCCAGGGCCTAAGAAGAAGTGAGGATGTGGAGCACGGGAAGATAAACTTGATCGTGGGGAATAGGAAGGCTTCACCTGTTTCCAAGATTGGAGTTTATACTTTGTTGTTGAATAATGGGTTAAAATTAGATTTGAATAAATGTGTGTACTCGTCTGAAATGGCGAGGAATATTATTTCCTTTCATGCTTTGTAGAAACAAGGTTTTACCTTTTCGTTTGATAATGAATGTGGTGGTATTAATGATTTCATTAATATTGTGTTGTATTTTAAAGCATTACCTTGTGATGGTGTGTATGAAACTGTGTCGATTGTAGACAACTTAGGAAATAATGTGTTGTATATTGATTCTTCTACTAGCCTAGATAAGGCATCATTGTGGCATTGTCATCTTAGACATGTAAACAAGAAACGCATAGGCCAACTCCAAAAGAGTGGAGTCTTGGAGTCATTCGACCTTAAATCGGATGATAGTTGTGAATCTTGTCTACTTGGAAAGATGACAAAATCACCCTTCACTGGAACTTGTGAAAGGGGTGAGGGTTTGTTGGACCTAATACATACTGATGTATGTGGACCATTCAAAACCGCCACAAGGGATGCTAATTGGTATTATGTGACTTTTGTTGATGATTTTAGTAGATATGGGTATGTCTACTTAATCAAACATCAGTCAGAAACCTTTGAAAGTTTTAAGGAATTCAAACAGGAAGTAGAAAATCAATTGGACAGGAACATTAAGATGCTTTGATCCGATCGAGATGGTGAGTATCTTAGTACCGAGTTCCTTGACTATCTTAAGGAGCGTGGGATTGTCTCACAATTGACTCCTCCCAGGACACCACATCTAAATGGTGTAGCTGAGAGACGTAATCGAACCTTGTTAGACATGGTTCGCTCTATGATGAGTCGAGCTTCACTACCAATCTCTTTTTGGGGGTATGCCTTAGAGACTGCCGCCCATATCGTTAATCTAGTCACCACAAAGAAGGTTTCCAAAACACCTAATGAGATGTGGACTGGGAAGGTTCCCAATTTGGACCACATCAAAATTTGGGGTTGCGAAGCTTTCGTGAGGCGTGAAACTCATGATAAGCTCGAACCCGGAAGTGAAAGGTGTATTTTCATCGGCTACCCACAGAAATCCTTCGGTTACCTCTTCTACAGACCCAGTGAGAATGTGGTCTTTGTAGCAAGAAGAGGGGTCTTTCGTGAGAGAGAATTTATAAGCCAAGGAGACAGTGGGAGGCAAATTGATCTTGAAGAAATTCAAGAATCAATTGGTGAAGGAACCTCAGACACTAGCAATCAACCTGAGGAGGAAACTCCTGTTGAGCCAGCTGACGAGTTTGTACCTCTGAGGTGTTCCACACGGGTTAGGAACACACCTGCGTTTTATTATGGCTTTCATATTATTAAGGAAGGTGATACGTTTATGAGTGATAGTACACTGGTAAATTTGGATGAACCTAGCAGTGTTAAGGAAGCCATAGCAGGCCCGGAGTCTGCTAAGTGGAAGGAGGCTATGGACAGCGAGATACAGTCCATGTATGACAATCAAGTTTGGAACTTGGTTGACAATGTACCAGACCATAAAAAAGTCGGGTGCAAATGGATCTTCAAGAAGAAGACTGACATGGAAGGAAAAGTGCATACTTTTAAGGCTCGACTGGTTGCGAAGGGTTTTACTCAGACTTAGGGTATTGATTATGATGAAACCTTCTTGCCGGTAGCAAAGATTAAGTCTATTAGGGCTATGCTAGCCATTGCTGCATTTCATGATTATGAAATATGGCAAATGGATGTCAAAACCGCCTTTCTTAATGGAAAGTTAGCTGAGGATGTGTACATGAATCAGTCAGAGAGTTTTGTCAGTGCAGAGTACCCTAATAGAGTATGCAAGCTTGAGAAATCCATTTATGGATTAAAACAAGCATCTCGTAGCTGGAATCTTTGTTTTGATGAGAAGATCAAAGAGTTTGGCTTCTCGAGAAGTGAAGGTGAGTCTTGCGTGTATGTCAGAGCTAGTGGGAGTATAGTTAGCTTCTTGGTACTGTATGTGGATGACATACTACTTATAGGAAATGACATCCCAACCTTGCAGGAGGTTAAGTCCTGGCTAGGTAAGTGCTTTGCTATGAAGGACCTAGGGGAAGCTGCTTATATCCTAGGGATAAGGATATTAAGAGAAAGGAGTAAAAGACTAATTGGACTTAGTCAGAGTACCTACTTGGATAAGGTGTTGAAAAGGTTCAACATGCAGAATTCCAAGAAAGGAGATTTACCGATCCAAAGCAATACCAAGCTGAGTAAAACTCAGAGTCTGAGTACAGAGGCAGAGATAGCTGAGATGAGCCAATTACCGTATGCTTCCGTTGTTGGCTCGATCATGTATGCTATGACTTGTACCCGCCCTGATGTGGCCTTTGCTTTGAACATGGTCAGCAGGTATCAGGGGAACCCTAGCAAGGCTCATTGGACTGCGGTAAAGAACATTCTCAAGTACCTGCGGAGGACTAAGGATTGGATCCTTACCCTTGGTGGGAGTGATGACTTGAGAGTATTAGGGTAATTGGAGGGGCAACATTTGCTAGTTTTCAGACTGATAGGGATAACTTTCGCTATCAGTCGGGCTGGGTCTTTACCTTAATGGAGGGGCAATCTCTTGGAAGAGTTCCAAGCAGGAGACAATGGCTGATTCGACTTGCGAATCAGAGTATATAGCAGCGAGTGAAGTAGTGAAGGAGGCGATATAGCTGAAGAACTTCATCAGAGACCTTGGAGTTGTGCCAGCTATTAAGGAGCCTATGGAAATTTTCCGTGACAACAATAGTGCGGTTGGTTTAGCTAAAGAACCGAGAGATCATGGGAGATCCCGACACATTGACATAAAATATTACTTCATAAGACACAAGATAGAAGAAGGACTCCTCGTGGCAAAGAGGATATCGTCAAATGAGAAACCTGCGGATCCCCTTACAAAGGAACTGACGAGGGCTAAGCATTTTCAGCATGCGAGGCACATAGGGCTGAGGGACGATATTAGTTTTACAGATTAGATAGATTCTCTGAAACTTGTAAAATGTAATCGACATTTGATGATGAATAAAATTGTGATTTATTTATTTGTAAGGTGTTGCTATCATTGTCAATTATTTACAATTGTTTCAGCTTTGCATGTTTTGACTTCCAGAATAATTAATTTATTCAAACCTCCACAATCGGTCATACGTCGGAAGTAGGTATGAATCAAGATTGTCATGAATTGGGTTTGTAGATGGCTAAAAGTTTTTAGACATGGCAATGGTTGCTACAACGTTCATGAGTACTCATAAGTTATGAGTATTGGAATAAACCCACGCTCACTTGTATCACTTCATGGAATTTATCTCGAGTGATCGTGAGACGGTAATATCATATAAGTCTTCAAACCTAGAGATATGAGTTGTTACCTATGAGTTGGTTGTGCATTGATTGCACGTAAACGCATCAGTAACTTGATGTTATAAAACGTGCCTTTGTGTACAATTCAACAAGTAGTAGAACAAGTATATGAGTCGAAGTTTATCTATTCCTTCTAGAAATAAAGCGATATCTGGGCCCCTCAATGATTTTGTGTTGACCCATGTACCGGGCCCGGTCAGAACTAAATTGATGTGTTCAGTTGAGTTCTTTGTCAAACAAATTGGAAATCGAGAAACAACTGCCAGACAATAAACAAGACATAGTTCCATGTGTTTGTCCGGCTGATATCATGAGAACAGAGGATTGTATGATCACTTATCTTAAAATGGCGCTTCATAGTTCAACAGAGTTTTCGAGAGCTACGATTGCTGGTTGGTTCCTGAAGTAATATAGGCAAATACAGTTATTAGACTTATCCAAGTGGGAGTCTGTTGGATAAGGTGTCTAAGTCCATAACTTATTTGGTATATACTTGACCCGACCCGGCATGGTCCATTTGGGTTGCATTTCATTCAAACTATTTATGGATAATTTTATGAGAGTTATACACATATGATTATTAATATATTATAACTTATAATATATTAATATGAAGTCATGTTATTTAATTAGTCTTAGTCTTAAATTAATTATGAATTAATTTGGAGATTAAAAGGAAGACTAATTAGATTGTGGGCTATTGGTTTTATATGGTGTGGGCTAACACTCATTTGTTAATGGGCTAAAGCTTGTATGGAAGTCCATGGATGATCCATGGAGCTTTTAACCCATGGATCCTTGGAAAAGGAAAGGTCATGGGTTATTAGGGTTTCACCCTAATCATGTACACTATATAAGCATGCTTATGTTGCATGAAATAGCCACTAGAATGTGTGTTTGTGTGTGGCCGAAAATTGTAGTGTGTATACACTCTCTCAAAGTTTTCCAAGAGTTTGTGGTAATTTGTGATTCCATTTGAGGCATTCACACTATTGGTGCCTGGCCCTCAAACTCCTTAAGAATCAAACTCATCAAAAAGGTATGTAATCTCATCTAATTCTTTTATGTTTAAAAGTACCCCATGCCATGTTAGATAGGTTATGAACCTTGGAAAAGTATTATTTTGCATGTATTTAGACAAACATAGATCCAAGGTTTATTAGGGTTTCATGCACACTTAGGAAGTGTTAGATTGCTCAAAACCCAACACCAAGAAGTGATGTTACTGCTCCCCTAATTTCAGAATCTGGTAATCAAGTAAGTGGTCCTAATATTAGTCCTCTGAAAAGGACTAAGATGATGGCAAGGAGAGGAGGGAAAACTAAAGTGTCTGGATCAAGGAACAAAACACCAAAGAAATCACCTAATGGTAAGAAACATAAGAGTAACGCAAAGGAGGATGTGTCCCTAACATGTGATGAGGATTTTGTTCATCTTTTTACCCATGCACCTAATGGTAAGCAAGGTATGAGTCAACCAACAGAGGATGTTCAGGAACAAGAACATGATGACAATGAGGTGAAGGTGAGTGAAAGACTTACTTTACAGGAGTTGCTGATCTCTGGATATAGACATGCTGAAGCAGTGGCTGCTATGAAAGAGGTATATTCATGTAATCACTATTTTTAGCTTTCATATTGTAGATTTACTAGCTACCCCTCCATATTGTAGGTTTATGGAGAGGTTGAGGAACAACAGATTGAAGAAAAAGAGGCTAAGGAAGGACTTGAAGATAGAGAGGTTGAAGAAGAAGAAGTTGAAGGCATACAGGTTGAGTAAGAAGAAGTTGAAGGCATATAGGTTGAGGAAGAAGGAGTTGAAGAGAGAGAGGTTGGAGAAACAGTCCTACCCTCCAGAAGAAGTTATGGTGCTTACAATTTCCATTGGGAGAAAAAGAGGAAACCCTCTGAAAGAATTAGGAAGTTGAAGCTCAGGAAAATGGTTGAGGATGTTGATGGTGGTGGTTCCTCCAAAACCCCTTGGGTTTTAGAGTAAGGAGTTGTGTTTAAGGGTTCAATGGGTAGAATGGGCATTAGTAAATAGGTTGCCCTTTTTGTAAACATCTACTTTTTGTGTTTAAGGGTTCAATGGGTAGAATGGGCATTAGTAAATAGGTTGCCCTTTTTGTAAACATCTACAAATGGTACACTTGTCTTTTGGTAACAAGATTCCAATTCATATCTATAATGTTTGGTAGAATTGGAAGTTTGGTTCTAATTAGGTTAAATGGTATGATAGTGGTTTTGGGGAAGCATTGTAAAGTACATTCCCATTTTTGGGCTGTTAAATATTTGGTATGATTGTTAAGTTATCAATATATATATATATATATATATATATATATATATATATATATATATATATATATGCCTTGATTACTATAATTGTTGTTACCTTCCATATTTTGGTTAGTTTGGTAAGTAGGTTTATACATATGCATGTGTTAAAGGACTTAATGCATTGTTATCATTAATACATAATAAGTTGTTGGCATTGTTATCTCTTACAAAACCAAAAAATTGCCATACATAACACATGCATCTACTTACTGCCTAAATTGACCAAAATACCCTTAAACCTAAACTACTACTACCATTCCACCTGAACCTAACTAATGCCCACAACTTCACATTGCTTTAACCATAACATTGTGAACCATAAACCCCATCACTATCACCCCTCCAAAAGCATGACCATCATAAGTAGCTCCACCTTCAACAAGTTTAAAATATCCACTTGAACTTCTTTATTGTTCTTGGACTCCTCTGAAAGCTTCAAAAACTCCATTGCAAATGCTTTATTGTTGGTAGCCTCCTCCAAATCCATATGGAACTTCCACATAGTTTCCTTGTAGTAAGTATTTGGCAGGGGTGGATCAAGCCATAAAAAAAGCCGCATTTTTTTTGGAGTCCCGCACAACAATCACTTGTTCATAATGCTTCAACAAGACTATAAAAAATTACTTAATATTACCTGATAGTTTGGACACCCCCTGGATTTCCTCCATGGATTATCGACAGTTTTGGAGATCGAGAATGTCGCAGGTTCATCACAATCGCATCTCAAATCTTCAGACCAACAATTCCTTAAAGCCCACTCTTTGCAACCTTGTGTGTGCATGTTGGAGGAGCTTACCATCTTTTTGATTTGAAGTTGGAGAGAAGAATCGACCCAAAACTACCTGCAACGTTCGACTAAGGAGTAAACCTACTGAAACCGGTGAAACCAGCTCTTTGCCCTCAAACAATAACTCAAAGAAAATATTGTGGTCACATTAAATGAAAATTTAAATTCGGGGCTTTTTCCAATTTAGTGGCAAAAACATGGGACTTTTGTGATATTAACCCTTTCATTTATATTTAAATTCCATTTTCTACAAAAAAAATTTGATTTTAATTTTTCACTTTTAATTTTCATTTTATACTTAAAATTTTGACTTTGACTTTAAAGTTTGACCATTAACTTTCTCGTTTGACTTTAAATTTTTCAAATTTAGTTTTTCGGTTTGACTTTTAAGTTTGACTTTTTAAATTTGACTTTTAAGGTTGACTTTTGAGTTTTAAGTCAAAGGGAAATTAAAAAAAAAATGAGTTCCTCATCCATTCCGGTAAATGAAGTTTCATGTACTCCATCTTGTGAAGCTACAATTAAATTTCTTCGCGAACAAATTGATTTGCTAAAAAGGGAAAATGAGGACCTTAAATATGAAGGCTATACTCTAAGGAAAGGTCAAAAACACTTAAAAGCGCAACTTGAGGCCAAAACAAAGGATTTTAGAAAACTTCAAGAGGAATTTAGCAATACATGTGAAAATTATGACTATATTAAAAGACAACTTGCTTCTATGACTGCCGAGCTTGACACATTGAGAAACAAATTTGAAAATGCAGATTTGAATTTTAGAAAATATGATGTGTTAAGTGAGGTAGTTGCCTCGAAGATTGAGAAGCAATTAAAATTCAAAGATAATCAAAATAGGGGTCTAGGGTATCACAGTGTGCCACCTCCTTTTAACGACAACTATAACCCACCCCTTGAGACCAATGAGGAATTAATGTTTGCTCAGTATGGCCAAACCCCTATCCTAGCTTTAGTTAAGACTTAACCATGCGGGCCTACTGAGGCTATTCAGGTGAATATTTCTGATGCTTCTACTTCATGTGAAGGTAATGTAGTAGAGGATGAGAACAAGGAGAACAGTATTGAACAATCCAATGACTCCTTGAACTCTAAATATGTTTCTTTGAACTCAGTTATTCCTAACAAACCTGCTGTTGAGAAGTACAGGCCGCCAAATCAAGTGAAACAGCCGACTTGCTGCAAGTGTGCTTGTGGGAACAATCAGAAACGAGGCAAGGACACGCCACCAGGGGCAGGAAGAAATAACTTCATAGTAATGAAAAAGACCTGTTTTCACTGTGGAACACCTGGACACATTGCCCAAAACTGTCCAAATCGCGCATACGTTCCCTACTATGCACAAGGGTGGCAGAATGCGCCAAGAGGGAAATTTTCCAAAAGAAACCCCTCAAGGTCACGTTCAGACAATGGCGACCGGAATGCCATGAAGGGCAAGATTTCAACTCCTAAAGCCAAGAAATCAACTCCAAAGGGCAAGAAGGGAATGTCAGCCAAGAATTCCAATCGAAGAGATGCTCCAGCGAAACCAAGATCGGCTAGGTCAAAGTCATCTCAACGGCCAGCTTCAAGTTCAAAATCAAGTGCCGAGGCACCCATCTGCTCGAAAAAAAAATGGGTTAAACCCGACTACAGATGGGTACTAAAGGTTCAATCTCCCAAATCAATTGATGATTCTAATATTTCTACATCTTGTGTTTGTGATAAGTAGGATATGTCATGGGAAAGAGTACCTTGCATTGATGACAAAGGTCAACCCAGTTTCAAATAGACTAGGTTCCAAAGACCAACTCATCCCGCTCTGTGCTGGAGCAGCTATGGAGGCATATCATTAGACTTCGTTTTGTTGGTAGTGGCTGCTCCTAGCACATGACAGGAGCCATCTCTCAAATATACAACAATCAGAACATTGTTTGAGAGTATGTGTCCTTTGCAGGAAGGGAAGAAAGGAAGTGATCATTCATGGGGTTAGTTCTTAATGACATGAAGAATTTTCGGATCTGTTCTGAGATTTTGTGTGTTATTCTCAGACCTTCTAGATGCAAATCCAATCGGTGACTTATGGTTTGAGTTTTCTTCTTATACTCCTAAGTTTATCTTAATCTGTTTAGTTTTGAAGACAATCTTTTATTTTATTATAGTTTTTCGTTAGTAGGTTGCTTTGGGAAGTGATATAAACATGTGTGATAACAGGAAATTAAAATATGTGTAAAGTACCAAAGCTAAATTGTCTAGGCTCTGTGTTCGATGTGCTGGTAGGCACGAAAGATTTAAATGGACTTGACTAGGTAGAAATGAACTTAAGGAATCTACAGACTTGACAAATCTTGACCTAGACAGTTCCATTTAGCCTAACAATACGATGCTTGGGTAGGTTTAGCAGGGAGATATACATGAGAATCTACCAGTCACATTAAATGAACTCATATCTAGAACTGTGGTTTAACGTTTCCTTGATGTACAAATTTTTTCCTTAATTCCGGTATTGACGGGGCGACCGGGGAATTCCGATAAATTAGGTATGTAGAAGGTTATTTTCTTTCTTTCTTACTGTCAGTCATATGTTGTCTCCTCTGCGTGATTGAAATACATCCGACCTGGACTGCAACATATGCAATTCTATCTCTTTACATCTTCCATCTATGGAATTCATCCTATCTGTTATACATATGCTATCTCCTTTGCGTGATCGAAAGATTCGACCTGGTACACAACATATGCAAACTTCTACTTCTCAATCCCTCTAAAACTCTAGCTAGTCATATGTTTCACCCTCTGCGTGATTGGAAGAGATCCGACCTGGGTGTAAAGTATATGCATTCTAAATCTATCCTCTCTCTGAATTATTGTCTGCTCACCTAAAGTAAGGAGTATTCTGGAGGTCCTTGATTATTGGAGTATATCAGGAAGCGTGAAACACATTCTAGTACATTTAAAATTGAACAATTAATGAATTATTTGTAGATCTCGCTGCTCAACTTAGGTGGACAACAATATCCTTGGTCGTCGTTAGATGAATGCTCCTTAGGATGTTTATCTAGAAACACAGGATCAAATTGTCTTGTCACTTATAGCATGTCCAAATTTTGTCACAATTTTTGGTGCTTAAGTGGACCACAATACCAGCGACCGACCAGATCTATTCATGAAATGGGAGGTACCGACAAACGGATTAAGATTGTCTAACAACTTTGATCCCAAATATTTTTGTTTTTTTTTTTAAATTTGTTCATAGTTTTCCTCTATGCACAAATTTAGGGGGAGAATAAAAAAAATCAAAAATCAAACAAAAATCAGAAAATTCAGAAATCAAACAAAAATCAGAAAAATTCAAAAATCAAACAAAAATCAGAAAAACAAAAATCTAAAAATAAATTTGTTTCTGTTTTAATTAGTGTGCTAAGTTTTCTTTTGTCTTGAAAAGTGAATCCAAGTGTAGATGAGACTAATGGAGACTGTATCGAAAAATTTCTGAGCCAAGGCTTCATCCATGAGTGTTGAAGAATTCTCATTCGAAGGAGCAAGAAATGAAGATTATTCTTTCAACATTCAATTTGTCAACCCCATAAGCAAGGTTAAGCTGTAATTGAATATTATGTGATGGATTCCATTGAAGCCTCCTCAATCAATCTGTTGTTATC